CCTGGGGGCGCTCCTTCTGTGTGCAGGATACACTCTCCCCCAGGGGGGCCATCCCCCTGGGGATGGCTCCTCCAGCCCCACGAAGGTCAAAAGTGACGCAAAGGAGGCCTAGCCATGCCTCCTGGCAAGCAGCACGGCTGAAAGGCCAAATCACTGACCCCTAAACCCGCAGTGTCAACTGAGGAGCAGAAAGGCGGTGGACACGGACGTGGGGTCCCAAAGTCCCTCTGGGTGGCCCAGGGTGGATGCGTTCCTGGACTAGACCGGCGGGGGCACACCGCCTGCCGTCCTCCATGGCCTTTGGGTGCTGAGGTGGGCGCTGGAGACCCCAAAGCTTTCCCATCCCCTTCTCGCCCACAGAGAGTCGGGGTCCCAGGGTTATTTTAAGTCTCGAGCCAGCACAGTCTCTTCGGGTCCAGGCCGACTTTTCTTGGGGGGACAGTATCACTCTTTCATATATGTAATCGACTTTTAAAACTTTGACTTAATTTCAGTCAGGTTCAGATGTCAAAGTCATGCCCGGAGCTCCTTTTCCCACAGTTCTCGTTTCTGCTGCTTTTCTTTGCATTTTCACCCCCTACCCCTCCCGCCCACCTTCCCCCTGCGTGAGGCAGGTAACCGGGCGTGTCAGGCTGACGTGGACAAGCTGCGCCCTGACTGGAGTATAACTCCAGAGCTTTGTAATTTTATCTTTTACTGCTTCTGGTTGAGAAGCTATCGCTCTTCTAACCCCCCAAGTCCCTGCCCTGGACTTTCTCCATTTCCGTTCATTCCTGCCCACCCGCCAGCTCTTCTCTCTGAGCCCAGAGGCCAGAACACGCAGCCAACAGTGAACAGCATGCGATAGGCCTTTAGCAGCCAGCAGCTGGGGGTTCTAGGGCTACAAGGTTCTAGGTTCTTGGTCCGCCTTCCAAATATCACAGGGAGCCAGCTGGCCCTCCCTTTCCTCGCTGCTTGTATTAGTCGGGGTTCCCTGGAGAAACAGACCCCTGTACACTTAGACGAGACTTGTCATAAGGAGGGGGGCCAGGGCAGCCGCGGGGCCGCCAGGCTGAGGCCAGGGCCCAGTCGGAAGGAGCTTCTCCCCTCTTCCGCCCTCTCCTACTCGGCCCTCGGAGGGGTTGGACAGACGGCCCACACTGTGGAGGGGGTCTGCTTTACTCAGCGCACCCTTCAAAGTGAAGCTTATCCAGGAAGACCCCCGAGACACGCCAGGATAACCTCTGACCCGGCGTCTGGGCCCTGCGCCCCAGCCGGGCTGACACAGGAAATTCACATCACGCTTCGCCACGTGGGTTGGATCTCTCCCGCCTCGGGAACGCGGCTTTTCGTTGCGGCCTCCGGGCCCGGGCCCGAGGCGCGTTTACGGCGCTGCGCCGCGGCGGTCGGGGCGAGCTGCACGGTGCTCTGACGACGAGTGATCTCGGATCTTAACGGCGGCCAAGAAAGCTCTGTTCCTGCTTCTGCTGCCACCTGACGTGGGCTGGCGGCCGTCAGCGGCGGGTCGCCCTCACCCCCCAGGGCCCAGGGTGAAGCTCCCATCGCGGGCTTCGTGACCGCCACAGGGATGTGCGGAGTTCGCGTGATGCCCGCGAGTGACCCCGCACCTGGGCCCGCGTCCCCGGTGCTGCGGGACTCGGTGGCGGAGGGGTGGCGGGGGTGGGGTTTTGGCGGGCTTCCGGAGGAGACGATGCGGCTCCGCGCTCCGCGCACTGGGAATGAGGGTGTGAGAGGCCAGAGCCTCCCCCGAAACTCCCGAAGACGGCGGCCCCGCCGGCCCTGCCTCCGGCTGCTCTCACGTCTGTGCTGATTGTCTGCGGTCCGGGGGCAGCTGGTCTGTGAGCGCGGGCTCCCGGCCCGCTGTCGCTCCGCCGTGTACCAGCCTGCGACTGGGTGCTGCAGCGTCAGCACCACCCCGAGGGGCTGGACCTCACACCTCCAAGAGGGGGGAGGGGACCTCCTCCAGGACAGCGCGTCAGAGTTCCTGTGGCCGCGACGGATGCTATGTGCTCCTGATTTCTCTGTGAAGCAGAACTCTGTTTATTCTCTACTCCATTTTGGCCAGCAAGAGGCCCTGTAGAGACTTGCTTTTTCCTTAAAATGTTAATTCATGAAACTCCAGAGGCTAGGCTGAACAAAAGGAAGAGATATCTTTCTACATCCTAGACATGTTCAAAAATCTGGTTTTATACCGTGTTAATCTGAGCAGGTTCACAGATGGATCTTATTTCCCTGTGTAGTTAGAAAGCTAGGTGACCCTAACTGTTACAGGTCGTTCTGGTCTCTCTGATTATTGGTCCTTGGAAATTCATTAGGAAAAGTCGTGTAAAACCCCTAAAACTTTGCAGAGGAATGGCACCTTCCAAGGGGATCAGCCAGCTGTACCATCCCTTCCTGCCTCCTCCACCTCGCCTGCTGCGCAGGGACCCAGCACAGACTCCGAGAGACCCTGCCCCGCCTGAGAAAGGACCTCAGACTTGGGGAGCTGGTGGAGGGTCGTCTCCACAAGATGACATGTCCCTGCTGGGGCCTACCGTTGCAAGTAGAAGGGGTCAGACCCTCTTTTCTTTTGCCCACAGATCACCAGGGCATGCGCATAGTAGAGTGTGAGCTGCAAACCCAATTTAAAATATTCCAGTAGCCACGTTAAGAAAGAAAAAAAACAGGTGAGATTTATTTTAAGGATCTATTTTCTTTGAACCTATATATAGAAAATATTATAACAACATATAATTAATGAAAGGTATTTTTTTTAACAAATAAATTATTTACTTATTTTTGGCTGTGTTGGGTCCTCGTTGCGGCGCGTGGGCTTTCTCTAGTTGCAGCGAGCGGGGGCTACTCTTCGTTGCGGCGGGCGGGCTTCTCACTGTGGTGGCTTCTCGTATTGTGGACTAGACGCACAGGCTTCAGTAGTTGTGGCGTGTGGGCTCAGTAGTTGTGGCACGCGGGCTCTAGAGCGCAGGCTCAGTAGTTGTAGCGCACGGGGGCTTAGTTGCTCCACGGCATGTGGGATCTTCCCAGACCAGGGCTCGAACCCGTGTCCCCTGCATTGGCAGGCAGATTCTTCATCACTGTGCCACCAGGGAAGCCCCATGAACGATATTATTGATGAAATATTTTATATCTTAACAAAAAATTCTTTTTTTCTCACGAAGCTTTCAAGGACAGCTGATATGAGACTTATGCATACATCTTTTCTCCACTGGAACCCGCCACGTTCCCGGGCCTGGTGGCCACTGTGAAGCGCTGGAGCAGAGCCACCCTGGAGGATGTTGTAGGAGTGGGAGCTGGCAGGGAGGACCCCCAGGTGGGGCAGCAGGAGGGCGGCCACCAAGTTCATTCCCCCAGCCTGACAAGGGGAGGGCACAGGGGACTTGGAAGCTCCTGGAGAAAAGGCAGCCACCCTGCCCTGGGTGGGGGGCTCTCAGACGGCAGAGCAGCCAGATGGACATCGGCATGGAGGGGGGCTGCAGGAGAGGCAGGTCAGGGGCCAGGCCTACTATGTGTGTTACTTCTTTGTGACGGGGAAACAGCACAGCGCTCATTGCCCCTGAGACACCGGAACGGCCTCACCCCAAGACACACACCGTTCTCTGCTCCAATATCACCATCTTGCTGTGGGGTGGACAGAGTCAGTAAGAGGAAAGCGTGTAATTCAGGAAGGCTCTGGGCGGTGGAGGCATTGACCCTTCCCGAGGGGTCAATATATGGTCGGTATATCAAATGGGGG